GAGGAGGAGAAGCAGTAGCAGCAGCAGCAGGAGCAACTCACGCTTTTTTTTTTTTTTGCATTTCAGGTCATGGTTTCCTTTAAGTAACCACCATTCTCAATGTGACTTAGATAAGACTCATACATGTCCTGCCCCTCCAGTGACAAAGCCAGACAGACCCTTCCAAGTCCCTTACGTTGCTGCAAAATGATGAGCTGGACTTCTTGTTCAAATACTGCTCTCGTAGCACAAAGAACTTGTTGAGCAAACATTGCTTTTGCTTCTCTTCTGGTCCCTGCACTTTGACCCAGCCTCAGCCTGAGCCAATGAATGTGCAGTCTCTCCTTCTGGCCTTCCGGAGAAGAGACGGCTGGCAGGGCAAAAGTCTTTGATCTACCATCTAATCACAGCACTCTTTCACACTCAAGTCTTTTTACTGGTTCACCCGTTGCCCTCTGGTCAATTCCAGCTCATACAGACCCTGTGCATGCTGGAGTAGAAACACTCCATAGGGTCTTTGATGGCTGGGTTCAAGGGTGGATCACCACGCCGTTCTTCCCAGGCACCTCTGGGTGCACTTAAAACTCCAACTTTCCAACTCATGTTAACTGCATTCAGGGACCCAGGTCATATTTATCCTTCTCTATACGAAATGGATCCAATTTACCCTAACTCTTGAGACTTCTGCAGATCTTACTCTCAGAGTACTTCCACCCCACTTACCAGGAATCCTTTTGAATAAAAAATCTCTCCTTGCTCCATGATTGCTTGTTAGGTGAAAGTTGACAATTTTTGAGTGGCAAGTGTCCTAATTTATGGAATAGGGTACTGGTCTTTGAAATGGTTAAAAGAAACTTCTGCAGCTCAAAGTGTCCCTTGAAGATAACAGGGAGTGATATTCTGCTTAATGCATAGATAATCATGACATCAGATGCTATCAAAGAATAGAGTGCAATGCTTTTTTTCAAGTTCTATGATTAGATATGTGCATAAATTCCCAAGGCACTCAAATACCATTACTTAAGTGTTTTCTTTTAATATATCGCTAAATTTATCTTAGCACGTTAGCATTATCAACCCTAAAGTTTCTTCCTTAAAATAGGCTACCCATCTGCTTCTGCTATATTTTTAAAGAGGCATTGCTTTGGAAAGAACAGAAACCCTCTTCCTGTCTCAGGAACGGTTTACATAAGCAAACTCCAGTGGAAAATGGAATCCGTTGTGTGGATTTTTGAATTAAAGCATAATTTTTTCATAAATATTTGAATATATGAAAAATTGTGAATTCGCAACTTATTGTGAACTTCATTTCTCTGGGCCCAGCGAGTTGGAACTCTAATATAAATAGTCACCTGTAAGGTTAGCCATAAAGCTGATCCTGCCACAAGGAACGCTTTCTGGGCATCCTGTGACATCAGTCTCCCCAAAGGTGTTTACTGCTAAATTCGGCGACGATTTTCACCGTCGGACAGCAGGTGGCGCTCGTACATTTTTAATCAGCTACGATCGTTCTTGTTTTAAAATGTTCTTTTTTCCTTTTAAGGAACGCTTTGCTTAAAATATTAAAAGTCCATACATGGGTTTCTGACATGTAAAATTTAATTGAAAGCTTTAATACACTGATTAAAACATTCCATGCTCGCGTGTTTGCCCAATCCAACCCCCCCCACCCCCCCACCCCCCCCCACACACACATCACACTTCTGCGGGAAATACTCTTTACCAATATTACAGAGACAAAATATTGTACAGGTGACCGAAAAAGAATACAAATATACCAATATTACAGAGACAAAATATTGTACAGGTGACCGAAAAAGAATACAAATATACCAATATTACAGAGACAAAATATTGTACGGGTGACCGAAAAAGACGTCTGGCATGGCTGATTCAGGGACCGTCCACACTTTCCCCATCTAATCAATTCATTTAGATTTAGCTCCATTTTTGTAAAAGCAGTTTTAGCCACATTCCATTCTTCTACTTTAGACTCCGTGTTCGAAGAACGAGAAGCACACCGGCAGCCGGGATTTACATTTCTCCATCTCCCATTAACAGAGTCCTGCCTATGTGCAAATGCATCTCATGGGCAGGCCCTTGGGTGCCTGCGGTTAGCCCTCTTACAAACGCTCTCTTGTTCTGCCTCATCCACACATTTCCAGAGCAGGGTCCCTTTCTTCCTGTTTAAACCATCCCACAGAGAATAGCATGAAATTACGTTCCTCAGTGCGGGAGTCTCACCTAGAGCCACCTTCCACTCCCTTGTTCCCCGGCTCTCTTTCTGCCTCTGTGAATTGAGCAGCAACTTTTCTTTTTTAATTTGGGAGAAAGACGGCATCTTACATAGGCTCTGTTTTATGCTCCATGACTTTATTTTAACATAACATTTGGCGGCTGTCATGCAGCCCCGGAGTCCCCCCTCTTTTCTGGTATTATGGGTTATGAACTCTCGTGGGGGCCTCCATGTATTTAAACAGCAGTCTGCCTGCATGTCCTGTACAAAACACAGCCCCAGCCCCGCCTGCAAAGTGCATCCTGAATAGCCACCGCTTATTTATGGGAGGAAAATGCTCACCCATATTTTTTTCCATTTTTAATCTCTCATCTCTGCCTTTTAGGGGTAAACATGTAAAAATTATTAAATGCAATTTACAGAAAAGAGGCAGTGATTACCTCCTTTACAATCAGGTTGACAGTGAGAATGAAGAGCTGTCTGTGTTTTTGAAAAACCCTATCTTCTTTCCCTCAGTTAAAATGCAAATTGCTCCTCTCATGATAATGAGTACCTTATCTAGCTCAAGATATTTCATTTAGAAGCTCTTATTTTTCCTTGTTAATAGTTGAGAGGGTTATTGACCAAAATGCATTGATTGACTTTGTTATGCTAACAGCGGCGCGGAAAATGAATCAATGGGGTTAGCATCCCAGGTTCTAGGAGTATGTTGATGCTGTCTTTTCTGAAGGAGTCTACATAATATTTGGGAAATATTACCACATACCCCAAAACAAACATCAAAATCCCAGAGTTCGGCCATTGAGTCAGTTCAGACTCCTTGCGGCCCTGTGTAGGATTTAGTAGAACTGTCCTTGTGGGTTTCCAAAGCCTTCAATCTCAAAAGAAGCCGAAAGCCTCATCTGTCTCCTGATGGGCAGTTGGTGATTTTGAACTGCTGACCTTGCGGTTAGCTGTCCAGCTTGTAAGACACTACCCCACCAGGGCTCTCCATAAGCCACCAAAATATGCCTCCCTTGAACAGACAACTTCTGCCACCCCAGTTCCTTTCTGAGTCAAAGAAAGTTTTCAGAATAACGTTAAAAATGTTAAAGAAATCCTTGCTGAAAATGTAGCAGGACCAGAATAACCCATTACAGGAGAGGAAGCTCTTCGGGTGTTTGTTCTCCAGTGCCACACCCTTACAACGTTTGCCATTGAGCCCTTTCTGACCCATGGTCCCCATGAGTGTCCAAGTAGAAAAGCGCTCCCATGGATTTTCATTTTACTCTAATTATTTTTAACTTCAGATCGTGGATTGGGTACACATTTATAGAGCAGACCAATGTTCTCTTCAACAATCCCCGGGCAGTTTGTTTCTTGCCCTTGATCATAATCCCCACGAGGTAAACCTCCGCCCAGTGTCTGTGTCTCCTGCTTCCTTCCATTCCTCGTGCTTTCCCCACCCTTCTGAACTCTGTCCTGGGGTGAGCGCCACTCTTTGGATCTCAAATGGTTGATGATTCTAAAGTGTGTTCCCTTTATGAAACTCAGACTCGGAGTCATCAAGTGGATTTCTACTCAGAGAGATTCCACAGGACAGAGCATAACTGGCCCAGTGGGTTTTGGAACCTGGAAATCTTTCTGGAAGCAAAAATCCTCGTATTTCTCCTGCGGGGCAGCTGGTGGTTGTAAACTACTGAGTTTGGGATTAGCAGCCCAACTTCCAACTAAGCAAGCCATCAGGGCTCCTTTGAAAATTGAGCCACGGAGGTGAATTCTTTTCCAGACATAAAAGATGCCGAAGTTTTAGTGGTTCTACCAGCAAACATTTGACTAGCAAGGCTGGACGTTTTCCCTCCTATGATATTATTCTTTAATTAAAAACACACACATATATATATGTGTGTGTGTGTGTGTATATACATACATATGTATATATGTATATATACATATAAATTGTTTTTTTGGCATGTGCTTCACATATCATACAGTTTGATTGTTTAATTGTATTAAGAAGAGTTTTGCAATCTTACCACAATCAATTTCAGAATCTTTTCTTCTCTTGCTCATTGTTGTGAGCTCCCAATTTCTCCCCTTCTCCTCTGCTATGCCCCTAGGTAATTATTATTCCAGTTAGTGTCTCTTAAATTTACTTATTTTGCATTTCAGATACAGAAAATCATATAAACCACAAACAGGAAGCAAACCAACAACATTGAGTATGCAAAACAGAAAAACCTCTGTCAAAAGAAAGCAGAGATATTAAAAACTGAAACAACTTGAAAATGTGTCAAAAGGGACATCAAACAGGTGTTGCATTTTTAGCACAACTACGTCTGCCATAATCGACTTTACACTAATGTCTGTCAGCAGGACTGTTCACATCCCTACACAATGGTCAGAGGTAATGTGCCAGGGGCTTGGTCCAGGTGGGGATCCTGCAAACGGACTTTGGGCTTCCACTGTCACCCATAGCCTTCTGCAAACGGAGTGTTCACGATTTAAACTCTGATACTAGTCTCTTCGTTTGGATTTGGGTTTGATTATTTACAGTCCCATAGGCTGGGGGACATAATTGACACCTCATTTAGACAAGCCTGGCCTTTTTGTTGTTTGTTTTAATGATTTGAGTTTTGTTCCACATTTTTCTCCCACTCTATCCAAGGCTTTCTAAGGGAATCCCTTTTAGAGCAGTTAGTAGAGGTCGCTCCAGGTTTTGCCAGAACTTATTTCTTCCCAGGTAACTGTGCAGACTCAAACCTCCAACTTCTCTTTCTCAGCCCACTTCTAAAGAACTGGTCTCTTCCTGATGGTGGGGAAACACGGTGATCACAAAGGTGGTTTTCCCAGGGTGAGGCTTATCCAGTGCACTCCGGATGTGCTGACCCCTGCGATTTCCCCAAACATGGGAAACTCGGCTGCATGATTTGTGGCAGTGGGGGACTGCATTCGCGCTCTCCCCTGTGAAAACAAAACCAAAAGGAACTGGGTCCTGAAAATCGTCATGAATCGCAGTAGAGCAGTGGAACAGGCAGGTTTTCATTACAATGCGACTGGGGTCCCTGTGACTCAACAGGAACACAGCTGACAACACAAACAACTTAGTCATTGGGTCGAAATCACAAAGACCATAGGTAGATGTCATCCCATAGGACAGGGGAGATTTGTCCTTGTGGGTTTTGGAGGCTGTAAATCTTTTTTTTTTTTTTTTTTTTTTTAATCAATTTATTGGGGCTCATACAATTCGTCACAATACATAGATCAATTGT